CTACCTGGGAAGTTGGTTAGGTTAGTGTTTGGTCTGGTCAGGTCAGGTCAGGTTAGGTTAGTGTTAGGTTAGGTTAGTGTTAGATTAGTGTTTCGTTAGGTTAGTTTAGCCTGAATGTTTTTCATTACAGAGGTTAATGATTTCTTGTTATCTAATTTGCATAATTGTTAATTGAATTTCTAATTATTTACCGTCATAATGAGGCCTCAAATATATATAGTCATACAGGGTCATTAAAAATGCCTAGATTTTTAATGGTTATATATTAAAATTTTGGCGTTTTATCACCCTGTAGTACACTTTTGATCACCCTGTACTACACTTTTGATCACCCTGTACTACACCTTTGATCACCCTGTAGTACACTTCTGATCACCACTGTACTACACTTTTGATCACCCTGTAGTACACTTTTGATCACCCCACCACACTTTGATCACTGTAGTATACCTTTTGATCACTCCTGTACTCATACACTTTTGGATCACTCCTGTAGTACACTTCTGATCACCACTGCATATACTCTCTTTGATCACCCCAGTACACTTTGATCACCCTGTACTATACACTTTAATTCATCTCTGTAGTACACTTCTGATCACCCTGTATTACACTTTTGATCACCACTGTATTTCACACTTTGATCACCACTGTACTACACTTTGATCACCACACTGTAGTACACTTTTACTCACTGTACTACACTTTGATCACCCCTGTACTACACTTTGATCACCCTGTACTACACTTTTGATCACCCCTGTACTACACTTTCTTGATTCTGTACTACATCTTTGATCACCCCTGTAGTACACTTTTGATCACCCTGTACTACACTTTTGATCACCCTGTAGTACACTTCTGATCACCCTGTACTACACTTTTGATCACCCTGTAGTACACTTCTGATCACCACTGTACTACACTTTTGATCACCCTGTACTACACTTTTGATCACCCTGTAGTACACCTTTGATCACCCTGTAGTACACTTTTGATCACCCTGTACTACACTTTTGATCACCCTGTACTACACTTCTGATCACCCTGTACTACACTTCTGATCACCACTGTACTACACTTTTGATCACCCTGTAGTACACTTTTGATCACCACTGTACTACACTTTTGATCACCCTGTACTACACCTTTGATCACCCTGTACTACACTTTTGATCACCCTGTAGTACACTTTTCATCACCCTGTACTACACCTTTGATCACCCTGTAGTACACCTTTGATCACCCTGTAGTACACTTTTGATCACCCTGTAGTACACCTTTGATCACCCTGTAGTTCGGTCATTAAGTGAAACAATTATATCAGGTAATATGAAGTGTTTCCATTAAGACTCAGACTAAGAACACACACCTCAGTCCCTTAATTTACCCGAATTTATTTTTCATCTGTGTTTATTACTAATGCATTAAGAAAACCTTCAGCAGTAAGTTGTCTGGGGGTGAGAATGAGGCCACACACACACACACACACACACGCACACACACACACACACGCACACGCGCACACACGCACACGCGCACACACGCACACGCGCACACACACACACACACACACTAATATATCTAATTAATTTCACACGATATTGTTACTTCGAAATTTCTATACCAGTGTGCTTTTTTCCTGCACCTTCCTACACCAGAGCGGTATACCAGCGCCCACACCTGCCTACACCAGGCGGCATACCAGAGCCCACACCAGAGCGGTATACCAGCGCCCACACCTGCCTACACCTGAGTGGTATACCAGCGCCCACACCTGCCTACACCTGAGTGGTATACCAGCGCCCACACCTGCCTACACCACAGGTGGTATGCCAGCGCCCACACCTGCCACCTACACCTGGTGGTATGCCAGCGCACACCTGCCCACCACAGAGCGGTATACCAGCGCCCACCTACCTACACCCAGGCAGTATACCAGCGCCCACCTGCCTACACCTGAGTGGTATACCAGCGCCCACACCTGCCTACACCAGAGCGGTATACCAGCGCCCACACCTGCACCTACACCAGAGCATTGCACAGCGCCCACACCTGCCTACACCGGGCGGCATGCCAGAGCCCACACCAGAGCGGTAGCACCAGCGCCCACACCTGCACCTACTGGTGGTATGCCAGCGCCCGCACCTGCCTACACCTGGGTAAGCAGTATACCAGCGCCCACCTGCCTACACCAGAGCGGTATACCAGAGCCCACCACCTGCCTACACCTGGGTGGTATACCAGCGCCCACCTGCCTGCGCAGAGGCGGTATACCCAGCGCCCCGCCTGCCTACACTGAGTGGTATACCAGCGCCCACACCTGCCTACACCAGGCGTATACCGGCGCCCCACACCTGCCTACACCTGAGTGGTATGCCAGCGCCCACACCTGCCTACACCAGGCGGCATGCAGGAAACCCACGCAGAGCGGTATACCAGCGCCCCTACCTACACCTGAATGGTATGCCAGCGCCCACACCAGAGGCGGTATACCCGCGCCTACTGCACCTACACCAGGCGGAATACCCGCGCCCACCAGAGCGATATACCCAGCGCCACATCTTTCTGCCTACACCATGCGGCATACTGGCGCGCCCACACCAATGGCGGTATACCGGCACCACGCCTGCCTACACCAGAGCGGTATACCAGCACCCACGCCTGCCTACACCAGAGCGGTATACCAGCACCCACGCCTGCCTACACCAGCACCCACACCTGCCTACACCAGGACCCACACCTGCCTACTACACCAGCACCCACACCTGCCTACACCAGACCGGTATACCAGCACCCACGCCGCCTATACTACCTTCACAAAGTTGCCATCTACTAGAGTCACCACTACCAACATACACTTCTCCACCCGGGTGTAGCAACACACATATACCCAACACACTGCTTCAGGGACGGCTGGGGACTCGCTCTCCTTCCTTCCCACGAAAAATGCAAATAAGATGCCTGACAATTTCAATGAATTACATACCTATTCCGTTTATTTATGAGATACCCTTTTCTCTTGTCGTACAGGTGTAAACAAAGTGCTTCAGTGAGCATCAACAGGAAGCCATTTTCTTCCTGAAACTAATTGCTCGTTACCCCCTACTATATGTTTCAAAAATATAAAATAACCAATACAAGTTGATCGTTAACACATGAACAACGTTTTCATTTAGTTATATTTTTTATTAACAATAAAAGTACCCAATTCGATACTCTTGTCAGATGCCCCAGGGTAGGCGCGGTTGTTGTTGGCGGACGTACGACGCAACATGTTTTGAAATGACCGTATATTAAAACTGGCCATATAGGGCATGACATCTTATAAAAACCGTCTTGTTTAACTTTACATTATGTCTTAGAGTATACATAGCGATATTGTAGTTGTTTAGAACTGTTTAATGCTTAGACAACACGTTAAAATTGTGTGTGAGGCGCGAGGTGGGAGCTACACCTGCCGCGGCCACCTACCCCAAACGACCAGCAGCGGGGCAGGGCAGCGGGCCACCAGTGTCCGTTTAAGCGTCACTCGAGGTATCCCGCCACACCGGTTATGGCAGAGGTTTAAATTCAAACGTTTAGGCGGTTTCTCGGCGATCTGTCCAACAACCTTGGGCGTGATATTCAAGTTTATTTTTTCCTCCCATTTCTCTAAAGGTCTACAATGACTCATTATTAAACACACTGATACTTTATTATTTGTTCATTAACTTGTACAGGTTCTCCGGCATATTTAAATACCTGTATTAAATGTTTCTCGAAGACGGTAGACAAGTTACATTAACCCCACCTTTAACAAGTCAAGTTAAAGGGGAAACATTTATCGTTTCCTCTCTTAGTTATTGGTCAAAAGAGACTAAACATTTTCCCTCAAGTCTTTCTATAAAACCAATTTATTTCATCACATACAGGGAACAGCTGACTTACTCCAACAGGTAAAGTAAAGCGTGAGAGGGAAAGTTAAATGAGTGTTTTTCTTCACCTGGCCAGATGCTACAAGGCTTACACTCAGTTGTCCCTCTCAAGGTGGGGAGTTACGGCGCCTTGTGGTTGAACACTAACACCACAGCGGCTGGTCTCTCTCACACCTTCACCCTCCTCCCTTGGCCCTTGTCACCCTCGCTATTCTCTTTTAAGGGATTATTTTTTCTTTATTGTCTAATTTTGTCTTTTTTTACCGTTTTGGTTCCAATTATCAGCATGGTACAAAAACTGCTTCGTTATTTTAAGCATTATACAGTTTGTTTTGTTTGTTCAATAAATTTCATATTCAATGGAATAATTATTTTATCCACATGGAATTATCAGATACGTTTCACTTTCCTCGGTGAAAAGAAGAGTTGACCTGACCTGACCTGACCTGACCTAACCCGGATAAAATTCAGTATGTTAAATGGTATTACCCGAAGATTAGCCAACCAAGCTAGTTTCACCTGATGATTAAACAGCCTAACGCTACTTGGGGGCTGGGCAAGGTTAGGTTAGATTAGGTTTGGTTAGGTAAACTCTTAGATTAAGTTATGTTAAGTGACGTTACATTAATAAGATTAGGTAAGGTTAGCGTAGCTTAGATTAGGTTTACGTTACATAAGGTTACCATTAAGGTGTTCAATCAGGCGAAGTAAGCTAGGGTGCCTAATCTTCATGTGATCTATTTGTACCAAGAAGGTGCCAGAATGTTTCACACACACACACACACACACACACACACAGTAGCATGTGGACGCTGGTAAATATGTCAGGATTTAGAATGAACTTTGTCAGGACTCAGAACAAAAATAACACGGCGCCTGAATTTCACACCTGGAAGTTGAAAGAGTACTCCTGCCTCCCCCTCCCTTCCCTAGTAGTACTCCTGCCTCCTCCTCCCTTCCCTAGTAGTACTCCTGCCTCCCCCTCCCTTCCCTAGTAGTACTCCTGCCTCCCCCTCCTCCCTTCCCTAGTAGTACTCCTGCCTCCCCCTCCTCCCTTCCCTAGTAGTACTCCTGCCTCCCCCTCCTCCTCCCTTCCCCTAGTAGTATACTCCTGCCTCCTCCTCCCTTCCCTAGTAGTATTCCTGCCTCCCCTTCCCTAGTGCTCCTGCCTCCCCTCCCAGTAGTGCTCCCTGTAGCACTCCTGCCCCCCTCCCTAGTAGTACTCCTGCCTCCCCCTCCCTTCCTAAGTAGTAGCTCCTGCCTCCCTTCCCTCCTGCCTCCCTCCCTTCTAGTTGTACTCCCTGCCTCCCTTTCCCTAGTACTCCTGCCTCCCTCCTTCCCTAGTAGTATTCCTACCCCCCCTCCCTTCCCTAGTACTCCTGCCTCCCCCTCCCTTCCCAAGTAGACCCTGCCTCCCTCCCTTCCCTAGTAGTACTCCTGCCTCCCCTCCCTTCCCTAATGTGCCTCCTCCTCCCTGCTCCCACCCTGCTCTCCCTTCCCTAGTAGCCATCCTTATATGCCCTCCTCCACTGATAGTACCCTGCCTCATTAATGGTATATTGCCATCTCTCCCACTTCCACCAATAGTAATGCTGCCTAACAACACCAACCTAACCAAACAACCCAACACTAACCTAACCAAACCTAACCAAATAACCCAACCCAACCTAACCTAACCTATCCTATCCTAACCTAACCTAACCTAACCTAACCACACCCCTAAGATACCATTAAGTTGTGTTTAAGAATACCAGTTAAAATAATCATAGGGGAAGAGAGAAGGAGGTAAATAGGTATTGAGCTAATAATCAAATAACCCACAAATCCACAAAAAAAAAAGATGAACCAAATCAAAACTTTACCCACAACGACAGTAAATAAAATTAATAAAAGTCGTATTATTGAAAGACCATGTAAGACCGCCACTGCTCCCACACCAACTCGTGAAAATACATAAGATAATAAAAGACTCAACAAGATTTAATACGGTAAATATGATCCACATCTCAGAGCCTTAATGATGAATCGTGGCGTGTCAACAAGACCTTCCCCTTCCTCCTGTACCTGTGTCTTGTGGCAGCTAAAGTTAAGCTTCTATATACTAGTCGGTCCGCAATCTTGGTATGGTATAACGTGGGTGGGGATGGGTGGTGTGGGGGTAAGGGGGATTGGGTGGGTAAGGGGAAAGGTGGGTAGGGGATAGGGGGAAAGGTGGGTAGGGGAAAGGTGGGTAGGGAGTAGGAGGATTGGGTGGGGAAGGAGGGAGGGAGGGAGGGAGGGGGTAATATAGCTTATCCACCTATAAATTCCCTTCTTACAACAACAAAAATCACTCACTGGTAAACCATTTTCTTACTTATAAACTCTCTTTTTACTTATCAAATCTCTTACTTATAAAATTATCCTTACTTAAATAATCCATCTAACTTACAAAATCCCTTCTCACTTACAAACACCTTACTTATATCTTCCCTAGCATACAAAATACCCTTCCAACTTGCCGCCACCACCACCCCACACACACACACACACAGGTGACAACACAACATAGTTTACTTGTCAAGCATTAAGCTGTCGAGTTGAAGTCTTTAGCGCAGTAACTCGTCGGCCAGAGAGCGCGAGCCAAGACGGGTGGGAAGTGTACATTCAGACCGGCGTTGATGACAGAGTTGACCAGTGGGCTTTGGGCATTACAGTTTAAGTATGAATGATTGTGAGTTTGCCTGGGCTGTTAACATGGCTCGGGGTGGGGAGGGTGTTGGGGTGTGTGTTGGGGGGTGATGCTGAGTGGTTGGGGGTGTGATGGTGGATTGGTGTTGGGAGTGATGGAGGTGGTGTTGGGGTTAATGGGGTGGTGATGGGTGGTGTTGGGGGTATGGTGTTGGGGGGTAATAGGGTGGTGTTGGGGGGGTAATAGGGTGGTGTTGGGGGTAATGGGGGTGGTGTTGGGGGTAATGGGGTGGTGATGGGAGGGTGGTGGAGGAGTGATGATGGGTTGGTTGGTGTTGGAGGTGTGTGTGTGTGAGAGGGAGACTTAACACTGGTGGTATCATAAGCTATATTACACAACATGTTATATTAAAAGTCTCGGGCACTCTCACAGTATACTGGGGAGGAAGGCGCCCTAATCACCACCTGATGTAGCCTGTCCTAATACACACGCACAGGTAAACACACACGCTAACAGACACACGCAAATAAACACACACACACTAACGCACAGGCAAACAAACGCACACACACACTAACACACACGCTTACAGACACACGCAAATAAACACACACACACTAACGCACAGGCAAACAAACACACACACACACACACACTAACACACACGCATTAACACACACACACACACGCTAACACACCCACACACAGACGCACACTGGCATTTAAGACACGTTGACATAAGCGAGGCATTACACAAGACATCACAGGAGTTCCTCGTCGATAGTTTGAATATTAACCACAAACACCTCGCGTGACAGGTAACGGCATGATGCGTGTGTCCCTCACCCTACTGCTGCTACTGCTGTTGTTGTTCGCCCTGTCAATCTCCTGCTGTACCTGCTGACGTTTCTCCTGTTGGGGGTGGCCGTGGTCCCCTCCCCCCCCCCACCAACTGCTGAAGCTCCTGCTGTGAATGGTTGTGGTTCCTGCCTCCTGACGTTCCTGTTCGGAGGCGTGTGGGGTGGTCGTGATTCCTGCTTCCTGACGGTCCTGCTGTGGGTGGTCGTAGTGAATCCCCGCTGATGTTCCTGTTCCGGGGGTGGTCGTGGTTCCTGCCTCCTGACGTTCCTGCTGATGTTCCTGTTGGAGGGGGGTGGGGGATGGTGCTGCACCTGCTGACGCTCCTGCTGGCGGGGTAGGTTGGGGGAGCTCTGGAATGCTCAACAGTCATCCATCGATTTTCCTCCGCCTGGGCGTGAGTGAGCGGAAGACCCATCATCTTCAGTCACTT